TAGCCATTAACAATGACAAGTATGTGGATTATGCACTGAAGTGTGCAATAGATAAAATAATGTCAAATAAAAAACTTTGAGAATCAAATAGCGCTTGCATACCATTACAGGGATGCTAACATGTTTAGAAATTACACTGACAAGATTTAGAAAGAAATTAGTAGTAATGCAAACAGTCTGTGATTGATAATATGAGTGTAATTAAGCAGCTGCTCAGCCGAGGCACTGTGCTAAGGGCTTTGGGAGATTCAGGGGGGGATTGTGGCTGAAGGCTTGTCCCAGGAGGACCTCACAGCATAGTTGGAGGTCCAACTCTAAGGCTGCGAGGCGAATTCTGAGCGGAGGCTGTTTCTACAGTTATTCTACCTCAAGACTCCAAGTTGGGGTATCAAGAGCCTGGTGTGGGGTGGCAGGGCTTTTACAAAACAGCCCTCTCAGGGGTCATATGGATGTTAGAGGTACGTGATAAAACAAAGCTGTGGGCCAGCTGGAACCCCACAAAGGCTCAGGCCCCAGCTCAAGTTCAATGGCCTTGGATCTCTGAGCCCCTGCCTTCCCAGGGCCACATCATAGGCCTTGGGACCGGAGACTCCAGGCTGAACCCCATAAGCTGTGCCTTCTGTAGTTCCCCAAACTCCTGCTGGGGCAGGTGGGCCTCCAGCTCTTTGCCATCTGGAGCTCCTGGCCCACCACCTTTGGAAGCCATGTTAGAGGATGTGGAGAGTCACTGCCCCTGGGTGGGTCTGCTGTCCTGAGAGCAAGGGCCAGCCAGAGGCTCCCTCCTTGGTGAGCTGCAGTGATCCAGGCCAGCTGGGCAGGGCCTTGGATTCTGACTCAGGCTCCACTGGCCTGCTGGTGGGCTCGGGCAAGTCACTTAATGCCCCAGGTCTCGGTCTGCACAGCTGTACAAGGAAGGGTTGTGTCGTGCGCTACAAAGCACTTTCACTTTCACTAAAATAACAGCTTTTGTAATATCTGTTTACCTATGAGGGACAGAAGCCCAGGGAGCCTCAATGACTAACCCTGGGCCGCAGCTCTGGGCAGTTCCTAAGGGCACACAGTGGTTGGTGGCTAAGTGGGTTTCTCAAGAGTCCAGTGCTCACCCTCAGGGCAAACTCAGCCTGGCCTTGGGGATCAAGGAAGGGAGTGGCCTTAAGCTCTGGCGGAGTGACCAACGCTGGGGCTGCGGACCTCCTGTTTAACTCAGGCCTCTCTTGATGCTAGAGGGCTCAGGGGGTTCTTTGGGTAGAAGGTTGAGGAGCCAGGCTCTCTGTGTCATACTTGCCTCACCCCTCGTGGATAGTTAATTAGTTAATTACTGTGGGAGAGGCAGAATCAGAGCAGAAATGCCAACTCTAGGCTGGAAGCAGCACTTAAACCATGAGTAACTCTCATTAACACTGAGACCAGGCCCACTCAGCTGGGAGAACAGGGCAGGGGCTGGGGTCAGGGGAGCTGGGCTCTCAGGAGGCCCTCGATTCCCAAAGCAGCTGAGCACTGGCCAGTGTCCAGTGTGAGGGGGCAGGAGAACAGGCCCAAGTGTCCTCATGGTGCCAGCCCCCACCCTGCAAGAGCCGGGCTTGGGGCTTTGGGTGGTGCCTAAGCAGCTTTGGTGGTTTTAGACACCCATTCTCCCTCAGCCTGGGCTGAAGGAAGACGCCGACTGCTTCCTGCTTCTCTCTGGAAGGAAGTGCTTGCTGCCTGTCCTCCCGGCTTCCTGGCTCTGGGCACTCCTAATTGACCCTTCAGAGGAAAATGGTCCACCTTTAAGCTGCTTTAGGTGACTAGCAGAGCTGCTGGTGGTCATTAAAGAAGCTGGGAGTCTAAGAACTCAATTACTTCTTCTGGTATTTATGAAATCGTGATCTTAGAGGCAGGAATGATTCCATTAATGATCTGAGATGTGTTAGCCTGTGCCCACGCCCCCACATCACGGAGAGGAGCCAAAGGACTTCCCTCCCCATACCCCCCAGCCACTGCCTCCACTGCGTTCCCACTGCCCTAAGGACAGGTGACCATATCACTTATCATCTAACTCGGGTGGCTTTGAAGAGTGAAGGGAGTGGTGCCATTCAACGTTTCCCTGGAGTAACAGGCATAAACCATGACGGTCCCTGGCAGTTCCAGCATCTTCCAAAGGGCCACGTCCAGCCCTCCCGGGCACATGGAGCCCTTCGTGACAGGGCCCTGCCTGCACTGCAGCCTCATCTCTGCACACATTGCCCTGGCCCTCCTCCATCCTGACCCCAGACTTCTTTCTTTCTTTTTTTTTTTTTTTAGCTGAGCCATCCTGCCACCTGTTGGCAACTCAGCTCGGGCTGGGCATCGAACCGCTGTTGCTCAGAACTCAAACTCTTGAAGCGAGCTCTTAACCAACTGAGCCACTCGACCGGCCCCCCCAGACTTCTTTTAGTGCCTATCCACTCTCTCCCCTCTGAACCATTGCATATGCTGGTCCCTCTGCCAGGAACTTTTCCACACACCCGCCCCTTCACCACTTATTCCAACTTGTCCTCCAGCTATCGGCATAAACACCACTCCTTCCCGGAAGCATTTCTCAACCCCCACTCCCACCTCCAGGTTTGGGTGAGATGCTTCTGCTTGGTGCGTCCCTGTCTCCCTGCCCACCATTGCTCTTCCTCCCTCTATTGCTGGTTCAGTATCTCAGGTCTCCACTGGACAGTGGCTGCATGAACACAGGGGACACGTCTGTCTTGACCACCATTGTCTTCCCAGATAGAGCATCTTCCCAGTGCAGGGTAGATGCTGTTGAATGAATAAATGACCTCGTCAGAACTTGCCCAAGAACATAAACTCATTCTCACTGAAGTGGAGCATTTTCATTCAACAGGTGACAAAACCCTTTCCAGCTTAAGCTAAAGTGATAACATTCTGATTATAGGTTTCAAATGTCAGCAGCCAGTTTGGGAGCCATTCCCATGTAAGTGGTAGCAAGTTGTAACTTAACGTTGACCCTTTTTTGATTGAAGGTTGTAGCTGGAAAATCACCCCACTATTTTTTACACGGATGCACTTGGGTGTGCTTATCACTGTTTGAAGCGTCTAGCCCTTGGAAATCCTTGGAACATTTTATTTTCTAAAATAGTGACCTTTGGTCTCAAGAATAATAACTACATTTTGGTGCTATTTCTAGTTTGAGAAAATATTTGCATGTATTAATATATTAACTTATCTGTCTTACAACAACCTGGCAAGGAAGCAAGGCAAATTCTCTTACAGATGAAGAGTCCGAGACCCAGAAAGTTAAAGTGCTTGCTTGAGGCCTCCCAGCCAGCACACGCCGAGTCTGGAAGCCCGTCTTGGTGGGCTGAGTCCAGACCCGGAGCACTCTACCACACACCCTTGTCAGAACAGACAGTGGAACCAAAGGTCATCCTTGTTCCCAGCCACAAAGGGTTGGCTGGCTGGATATTGACCATGGCTTTTAGATAAAATATTGCTGATTGATCATCTTGTTTTATTTCCCCTATTCAATTGTAACTCCTTAAGTATAGGGAACTTACTCTTTTCACATTTACGTATTTTCATATCCCTATCATAGTTTTACTTGCTGCTAGAATATAGGTTCAAAGTGGGCAGGGACTTGCCTCTTGTTCACAGCCACATTCTCTGCACATAGTAAATGCATTCTCAATATTTATGGAAGGGAATTATTTTTATGCTGCAGGAGGGAGGCCCACTACAGAGCTTTGGGCATAGCAGATGCTCAGTAAATGCTTAAGACTCATACAAAAGGTAAACACAGGCTCCTTCTCCAGAAGAGTGGTTCTGTGAGGCAGATGTCCTGGGAAGAAGGCTGGCTACTGAGGCTGATTAAAGAGACTAGATGTTCGGGAGACAGCTGTGCCCTCATCTGCACATTCCTCCTGTTGAGAGAAAAAGTATTTATAACAGCAAATGGCAGGAACAGAAAGAAGGCAAAGCTCAGGCTGGGAAGCACTTAAGGTTCCCTCTTCCAGAGCCGAACAATTGATTTCACACCAAGATCCCAGCTCAAAACCCTCCTCTGTACGGCAGTGAGCTATGAGAGGGAGGGCAGGTCTTTTATCTAGACTATTAGAGATGAGCGTAAGAGGGCAAACCAAGACTGTGAATCAAGGATAAGAGGCTTGCTTGTGTGCTGACCTGAGAGTCTAAAGTCATGAATGTCTGATCTGGGTGAGGCCCACTGTTAGCTAAATCACCCAGTATATGCCACTTCCCCTCTGTGAGTCTCAGTATCCTATGGTTATAGCATCTTGGTGCCAACAGGAGAAGGTGCTGAGCTGATGTCATTAGCATGGACACTAGTTTCCAACGCATGATTTGGAGAAGGAGGGGAAAAAGAGGAGCGTGAGCCACAGACACTCACACCTGAAATGTTTTTCTATAGACACAGCGCCCACACCCATTCCTGGGGCTCTGCTCTTCAATAATAAACTCTATGGCTAGGACAAGAGTGAGCAAGGGTCTGATGGCAGCCAACAAGCCTCTCTCCTGTGGCTCGTGATCATCTGTTGGCGAGGAAGGAAGGCTTGGCCCTCAAGTCAGGGAAGCAGCCAGCTCACTCAAGTGGATCCGAGCCTGGGCCAGGCACTAGGAATCCTAGAGTGCCTTTGCTTCCACAGGTGACTCATGGTCTGAGCTGTCATTTGGACCCCAGATGTGGGTAAAGTGGACCTTGGAAACCATTCAGGGTCAGGAGCTGGTGGACTAAGTAAGACCCAGGATGGAACCAGGGGCCTGAGCACACCTAGTGAAAGGGGTACCTGGTAGAAAGGAGTGTCGTGTAAGAGAAGTAAGTTAAGCCTCCCAGGAGTGAGGCCTAAGATAGGGGAGGAAAGAGAAGGTGGGCTTCCTGGGAAGTTTAGGGCAATGACACCACTCACTCCTTCCTCTCTATTTTAACGCCATGTTGGAAAGTCAGGCTCAGTTCACAAAATCCCTGAAGTTAAAGGGACCTCAAGGAGCACCTAACCTTTCCTTCTACAAAATGTGGGAAATGGAGCCTTTCGCATTAAGCGACTCGCCCAAGAACTTGCTGCTCTTCAGAGGCAGAGCTGTGAAGAAAACTGGCTCCCAGACTGGTCTCAGGGCCCCTCCTTTACCGTACTCAGACCTGACAGGATGTTGTGTAGCCAGTGCTGAATGGAGCTGGAGGGCAGCCAAGTCTAGAAGGACAAGAAAAAGCATGTCAGAGGGTATCAGATGAAGTAAAAAACACAGACGTCAGCATCTCGGAGGATGACTTAAAAGGTTGTGGAAAGAGACAGGGATTGGACAAAGAAGGGCAAACTCTAAAGCTGGTTATACATCAAGGACAACATAACTAACGTGTTCCAACCCCCACTGTACTACTCACTGTGATGTAGTAGGAACATTTGTTCATGCAGGTATTTCTCTCATCAGCCTGTGAGTTCCTCACTCGCAGGATCTATGTGTTTTGTTTCTTTAGATCCTTGGTATGATCCCTGACTCAGTTAATGCCTGGTAAAGGAATGAATGAATGCATGTAAGCATGAATGAATGAATGTCAGTAGGGCTTACAGGACAGGACTTTGGGAGTGCCATCCTCAGCTCTGCCACTTACCAGCTATAAACCCAGGACAAGGAACTGAAAAATAGGAATAATGACAGTGTTCACTTCCTAGGACAGCGTGAGGATTAAATGCGATCAGGCATGTGAAGTGCTCAATAAATATTAGCTATTTTTATGATGACTCATTTCAGGAAGCAGAACCAAGGGGAAAGTTGGATTAGATGAGTGTGGAGGATGGTATGCAACTCAGGAGAAGTTTAGGCTTTGGTGCATCATGTGTCTTGACTTTTCTCATCACCCCTACTTTCCTCTCCCGCCACCACCATAATTTTTGGAAATCACCTGATCTTTATTTATGATCTTTATTTGAATCTGGTCTTTATTTATGAAGGTCTTTATTGAAGGATCAGGGAACCTTGCCCGTCTCCAGCCTACGCTGTCATATAAACCCTTGCTTTGAAGGGTGATATAAACAATAAGCACCCCTGCTTCTATGATTCCATAAATGGTGGCATTTCAGACTCCATGGCACCTAGGGGGAGCAGGTCATTTGGAACCTTAGCCTTCCTGAATCAGATCACACAGTGACGATGGGCAGCCATGCCATGCAGCTGCTCACCTGCTGTTGAACAGGATAACAGGGTAGGCCAGTGAAGGTCAGTCTTCTGTTTCTGACCACCTCTCCTCTTAAGCTCTGGAGAACACTAAGTTACAGGGAAAGCATAGAGGGTGCCAAAAAAATGTATACACATTTTAAGAAAGGAAAAAACTGTATTAAAATTTTAATACTCAATATATACCAATAACAAAAGATGAAGACAAGTCATGTTTGACTTCTGCAATTACAAGAGGTGTTAAAATGGTTACCATCAGCATCCAGACACTTCTGATTATGGCAAACTACTGCTTGAGCAACGTTGACCAAAGTGTTAACATCTCCTAAAATGTGTATACATTTTTTTTGGCACCCCTGATATATTCCTTTTTGGCCAGGCATAGGGATATGAAAGCAAATCACTGGGCAGAAAATAAGAAAGATACATTAGAACTAAATCCACATCAGGCTGTGGGTTTTTAGGCTTTCTCCAGCATCTGGTCGGGGAGTTGTTGAGAGCAGGGATATAACCTGATCAAAATTCTGTTTTTGAGAGATGATTTGGCAGATGTGTTCAGGAGAGAATTGACATGAAGCAATAAGGGTGAGAGGGAATTAAGAGCAGCAAGTAAAGCTACTGTGGCAGAGGGCAAGTGAGAAGAAAGGAAAATCATTCCAGAACCCTCCCAGAAGACCTCCCCTGATATCTTATTGGCCAGAACCAGGTCACATGGCCATGCCTGGCTATAAAGGAAGCTGGGAAAGTAAGCATCTAGATTTTTTCTGTCTCTGTCATGGGATCTGCTGGTATGGAGGGAGGAGGAATGGGGGAATGGCTGTGGGCTAGGCAGCCAGCAGTGTCTGATCACAAATAGATCCAATAGTCCTTAGGAGTTGAGGGCCAGTGCCACAGGGGTGAGGAAGAGAAGGAGAAAAAGAGTTTAAGAGACTCTATGGAAGTAGATTGGCAGGACTTGGTAACTGATACAATAGGAAGGATCAGGGAAAGGGAGGAGTCACAGATCACCCTGGAGTCTCAAACCAGGGTGACTATAAGAGTGGTAATAGGTAAGCAGAAATAGGGAAGTCAAAGGGAGAAAGGGGCTTTTGGGGGGCAGGGAGGTGATGAACTTTCTGGGGTCGTGTTGAGTTTGAGGTGCCTGGGGAACATTTAGATGGAGACATCCAGCTTGGAGGGGCTCAGGAGAAAGTCCCTATGTCACAATCCATCTGTTGAAGAGGTAAAGAGTTACAAAGGGGACACTGGGTGGGGTGCACAAAAGGGATTCCTAGAAGGGTTGAGTTGGAAAGACAGCTTTGAGAAAGGGAATGCCATGCGCTCACAAGAGATAAACAGCGAGGGTCATGTGGAGTGGGAATGGTATGTGCAAAGTCAGGAGAGGGACAGAGGACAGGCTCTCAGCTGCCGGGGAGAACTAACTTATTGCAGAGATGAAGACAAGCTGTAGCTGATGAGGTCTGGCCAAGGTGGGAGGGGAACAGTTGCTGGTAGAGGGCTTTAGACATAGAACGAGGAGCTTGAATCTCATAAAATAAGTAAGAAAGAGGCTGTGACTTTTCTTGAACTGGAAAGGATGACAAAGTGATGTCTGAAAAAAATCAGTCTTGTGAGTACCCCTAAGGGCCTATTGCCTAATATACGAAGTTCCTCGCTTTGGCAAAATATAGTCGTCTTACATGGTTTTAATCTTCAGAGTTTTAAAAAAACTTTTCACCTCTGTTACTATCACCCTTTTGAGGAGGGTTAGGAAGATTAATCCCCATGGCAGATAAAGAAAACTGAGATTCAAAGAAGTTAAAAATACCTTCCTTAATATATGAATGGCCAAATAAGCCCATGAAGGAACGCTCTGCACCATTAGTCATTATGGGAATACAATGATAACCACAATGAGATATCACTGCATCCCACAAAAATGGCTAAAATTTAAAAGACTCACAACACTAAGCGTTGACGAGGACGTTGAACAACTGGAGCCGTCATATTGTAAAGGTGAAATGTGAAATGGTACAATCACTTTAGAAAAGTTTGGCAGTTTTTTGTTGTTTTGGTTTTTTTATATAAAGTTAAACATGCTGTTACCACGTGACTCAGAAATTCTACTCTTAGGTATGTACCAAAGAGAAATGAAAACATGTGTCCACACAAAGACTTATACACATTCATCACAACTTTATTCATAATAGCCCCAAAGTAGAAAAAAAAAACCACCCAAATGTCCATTAACAGATGAATAGATAAAAATTCCTCGGCTTATCTATACGAGATATGAGTCAGCAATCAGAAGGAATTAACTATTGATATATGCAGCACCATGAACAAATCTCAAAAACAAGCTGAGAGAAAGACACCAGACACTAAAGAGAGCATACTGTATGACTCCTTTTAGATGAAATTCTAAAACAGGCAAATCTAGTTTATAGTGAGAGAAGGCATACCAGTGGTTTCCTGGGGTTGTAAGGGAAGGAACTATTTGAGATGGAAATGCTCTATTTCTTGATGAGATGATGGTATTTGCATGGGTGTATATACCCTTATCAAAACCTATTGAACTGAACACTTAAAATGGGAGCTTTTTTTTTTCTTTTGCATGTAAGCTTTATCACAATACATTAGTTTATAAAGAAATATAATTTGGGGCCAGCCGAGTGGCGTGATGGTTAAGAACTGGCTTGGGATGCCAGAGGGCACCGGTTTGGATCCCACATATGAGGGCCAGTGACACTGCCCTCCACAGCTAAGATGCTGAACAACAGCTCAACCTGGAGCTGGGCTGCTGTGAGTTGCCAGCGACGGCGTAGGCTGCAGCCCCTGCTGCAGTGGGTTGCCATGGGCTACCATGTGTAGCCAGCAGCCAGTGTGAGTGGCCAGCAGCCACAGTGAGTGGCTGTCCAGAAGCTGGCGACTGATCTGCCTTGACCGGGAAGAGAGCAATGATGGTGCCAACTTGGGCCAGTGAAGCAACGTCCTCCACAACTAGACTGAAGAACAAAAGGACAGCAACTTATCTGTTCCCCTTCCCCTAATTCCCCAGCACTGTTCCAATCCCCCAATTCCCCAGTAAAAATCTTAAAAAAAAAAAAAAGAAATATAATTTGCTATCACCCAGCCAGTAAGATTTAGGACTATACTCGCACCAGTGGTGCTCCAGGCTGGCAGGGGGTATTTGATGGAGGGCTTGTGGGGGTGCCGAAGCCTGTGTGCATTAGCTTAGATGGGCTGGCTGGGGTGAGTAAGGGGTAGATGGGTAGGCCCTAAGGACCTCAGGGGCCAAAGCAGCCACCAGAGAGCAGAAATAGAAACCAGCCAGAGAGTAACAGCTTCCAGCAGCAAGTGGCTGTGGGAGCAGGGCTGAGAGAGGGAGGTGGGAGGTTGCAGGGCAGAAGAGGGGTGGTGAGTGAAGGCCTCTGCCTAAGAGGTGATTAGTCTTCAAGCGGCACCCCAAACTGAGGCAGTATCTTCTCTTTCTGGAGGCCGGATCCAAAATGCTACTCAGTGCTACCCAGTTTTCTGTAAGAAGAAAGACCAAGGCCATGTATACTGAAGTTTTATAACAAGCTCAATGCACTGAGGGAGAAGTATGATTTTCACCTTGGGAGGTGGGGCACCTCCTCTCTGGCTCTACCCATACAGGTTTGCTTGATTTTACTGGGTTTCCAGAGGGAAGCTAGTATTGGGGTGTCTTCATTTTTCTCCCCATAAAAGGGACCTACACTGGAGGATGTCATTCTAAAAGCCAAGCTAGTTAGCCCAATTTTGTAAGAAAGGAAAACAACTTTACACAACTTTGTGTTTTTAAGGGTCATAACTATTTCAAAGAAATCGGTTCATGTATGGACAGATCTTTTTTTCCATTGAAATAGACCTTAATAGTGCCAACCTTATTAACTTCACTACCAGGGCTCTGTCCCTCTAGGGGAATGTGGAGTAGGGTGGCAACAGTCTGGTGACACATTTATTTGGATAGTTCCTCTTTAACATATATTTACTAGCAAGTTGCTTGACCTCTCTGGGTCTCTGTTTCTGTAAACTGAGGGCACTGGGCCAGATCGAATCCCAGGTGACCTCTAAAGGTCCTCTGGCTCTGAGGATAATCCCGGCTCCAGCCCTTTGACTTTCAGCGCTGAAATGCTGATGATTGGGTGATCTCATTGGCTGGCTGCCATGCACTCATTAGGCACCAGTAATGTGCAGATCAACATATTAGGGATGTCCTGGGAAAAGCATCAATAGCATCAGTTCCTTCCCTTGAGGGCCTTATGATCCTCTTAAGACACAACATTCTTGGGCAAATATTTGAGGATAATTACAAGGAAGAAAAATATAGATTA